CTAGGCCCCATCCCCATACCGCCTGCACCCATCCTTCCTGCCATGTGCCCCATTCCTACCGTGCTTGTCGGCGAGGCTCGGGGAAGCTGAGGTGGGCGTGGGGGATATGCCTGGCCTGCAGCGCCTGGGTGCATTCCCCGGACCTGATGGTGGGGCCCGGGAACAGCATGGCCCCGCATGTGAGGGAGGCTTGGGCTTCCCGGTCCTGCCACCGAACCTGGACTGGGGTAACCTACACCCGGAGCTACCTTGGCAGCTCCGGGCGCACCAGGCATTGGGGGAGAGGTAGGGCTAGGTGCAGGGCCGGAAGCAGCATATCCCGGACCTGCTGGCCAGGTTCGGTCCATACCTACAGGCTGGGAAGCAGAGCCCGTGGGTACAGGAGGTTGGGACCTAGGATGGGCTATGCCGGCCACAGAAGGGGATCCCACAGAGGGGCTCATAGTATGGGGTGTGACAGTACGGGGGGGTGTGACCCTGCTGCCGGGAAGGCCATGGGGGGAGGGCGTATGTGGGGAGGCAGCATGAGACGGCATGGCATGGGAAGCAGCGTAGCCTGCATGAGGAGGAGGGGTGGCATGTGGGGGACCCATGGCATTCCCAGCAGCGGCTGCTGCTGCCCCGTTTGGTGCCCTTCCCATGCCTGCTGGTGGCACACCCCGCCCCATCCCACCCATTCCACCCATCCCTGCCATCACCCCGCCACTGCCTGCCGCAGCAGCAGGGGCAGCACGGGAAGCCATGTGGTGCGGCGCGGCCCCCACAGCAGCACCTCCTAGCTGCCCAGCCCCACCAGCAGCAGCACTGGCGGAAGCAGCAGCAGTGGCAGTAGTAACCGCACTAGTGGGAAGAGAAGCAGGAGCAGCAGCAGGGGCGGGTGGAGGGGGCATGGGCGGCAACCCTCCTCCGCCCCCAGGGACCCCAGCAGCCCCACCCTGCCGTGCCCCTGCTGCTCCCGCTCCCCCTGCCCCTCCTTGCCCCACCACACCCACCCCCCGCCCGCCTGCCATACCCCCCCCTACCCCTCCTCCTGCTGCACCTCCCATCCCGCCCCCTGCCGTCCCACCACCACTACTCCCACCGGCAGCAGCACCGGCAGCGCCGGCAGAAGCGGCGGCGGCGGCAGCAGCAGCGGCGCGGTCGCGGGCGGCGGCGGAGTTGGTGCTGATCTGCGTAGCGGGGTGCATGTGCTTGGGCAGCGGGATGACCTGGTCCTCCATCATGTGCCACCCCTCGCGCTGCACCTGTAGCGGGGCGACGGGGACGGGGAGAGAAAGGGCGCGGGTTGGAATGAGCAGTAGGTAGAGGGGAGTGAAAGGAGAGGTGGAGGAGAGTGAAGTGGGAAGGTAAGAATATGCAAGGGAGGAACGGAAGGGGGATACATAGAAGAATGGGGAATATGGAGAGGAGGACAGAAAGGAGGATGAGCAAGGATTGAACGAGGGGCACCATGTGTCAACAAGCAAGTCAGAGGGGCACCATGTGTCAACAAGCAAGTGCACGATCAGCGGGATACAAGCAAGTGCACGATCAGCGGGATACAAGCAAGTGCACGATCAGCGGGATACAAGCAAGTGCACGATGAGCGGGATACAAGCAAGTGCACGATGAGCGGGATACAAGCAAGTGCACGATCAGCGGGATACAAGCAAGTGCACGATCAGCGGGATACAAGCAAGTGCACGATCAGCGGGATACAAGCAAGTGCACGATCAGCGGGATACAAGCAAGTGCACGATCAGCGGGATACAAGCAAGTGCACGATCAGCGGGATACAAGCAAGTGCACGATCAGCGGGATACAAGCAAGTGCACGATCAGCGGGATACAAGCAAGTGCACGATCAGCGCCGGATACAAGCAAGTGCACGATCAGCGCGGGATACAAGCAAGTGCACGATCAGCGCCGGATACAAGCAAGTGCACGATCAGCGCGGGATACAAGCAAGTGCACGATCAGCGCGGGATACAAGCAAGTGCACGATGAGCGGGATACAAGCAAGTGCACGATGAGCGGGATACAAGCAAGTGCACGATGAGCGGGATACAAGCAAGTGCACGATGAGCGGGATACAAGCAAGTGCACGATGAGCGGGATACAAGCAAGTGCACGATGAGCGGGATACAAGCAAGTGCACGATGAGCGGGATACAAGCAAGTGCACGATGAGCGGGATACAAGCAAGTGCACGATGAGCGGGATACAAGCAAGTGCACGATGAGCGGGATACAAGCAAGTGCACGATGAGCGGGATACAAGCAAGTGCACGATGAGCGGGATACAAGCAAGTGCACGATGAGCGGGATACAAGCAAGTGCACGATGAGCGGGATACAAGCAAGTGCACGATGAGCGGGATACAAGCAAGTGCACGATGAGCGGGATACAAGCAAGTGCACGATGAGCGGGATACAAGCAAGTGCACGATGAGCGGGATACAAGCAAGTGCACGATGAGCGGGATACAAGCAAGTGCACGATGAGCGGGATACAAGCAAGTGCACGATGAGCGGGATACAAGCAAGTGCACGATGAGCGGGATACAAGCAAGTGCACGATGAGCGGGATACAAGCAAGTGCACGATGAGCGGGATACAAGCAAGTGCACGATGAGCGGGATACAAGCAAGTGCACGATGAGCGGGATACAAGCAAGTGCACGATGAGCGGGATACAAGCAAGTGCACGATGAGCGCGGGATACAAGCAAGTGCACGATGAGCGGGATACAAGCAAGTGCACGATGAGCGGGATACAAGCAAGTGCACGATGAGCGGGATACAAGCAAGTGCACGATCAGCGGGATACAAGCAAGTGCACGATGAGCGGGATACAAGCAAGTGCACGATCAGCGGGATACAAGCAAGTGCACGATCAGCGGGATACAAGCAAGTGCACGATCAGCGGGATACAAGCAAGTGCACGATCAGCGCCGGATACAAGCAAGTGCACGATCAGCGCGGGATACAAGCAAGTGCACGATCAGCGCCGGATACAAGCAAGTGCACGATCAGCGCGGGATACAAGCAAGTGCACGATCAGCGCGGGATACAAGCAAGTGCACGATCAGCGGGATACAAGCAAGTGCACGATGAGCGGGATACAAGCAAGTGCACGATGAGCGGGATACAAGCAAGTGCACGATGAGCGGGATACAAGCAAGTGCACGATGAGCGGGATACAAGCAAGTGCACGATGAGCGGGATACAAGCAAGTGCACGATGAGCGGGATACAAGCAAGTGCACGATGAGCGGGATACAAGCAAGTGCACGATGAGCGGGATACAAGCAAGTGCACGATGAGCGGGATACAAGCAAGTGCACGATGAGCGGGATACAAGCAAGTGCACGATGAGCGGGATACAAGCAAGTGCACGATGAGCGCGGGATACAAGCAAGTGCACGATGAGCGGGATACAAGCAAGTGCACGATGAGCGGGATACAAGCAAGTGCACGATGAGCGCGGGATACAAGCAAGTGCACGATGAGCGGGATACAAGCAAGTGCACGATGAGCGGGATACAAGCAAGTGCACGATGAGCGGGATACAAGCAAGTGCACGATGAGCGGGATACAAGCAAGTGCACGATGAGCGCGGGATACAAGCAAGTGCACGATGAGCGGGATACAAGCAAGTGCACGATGAGCGGGATACAAGCAAGTGCACGATGAGCGCGGGATACAAGCAAGTGCACGATGAGCAGGATACAAGCAAGTGCACGATGAGCAGGATACAAGCAAGTGCACGATGAGCGGGATACAAGCAAGTGCACGATGAGCGGGATACAAGCAAGTGCACGATGAGCGCGGGATACAAGCAAGTGCACGATGAGCGGGATACAAGCAAGTGCACGATGAGCGGGATACAAGCAAGTGCACGATGAGCGGGATACAAGCAAGTGCACGATGAGCGGGATACAAGCAAGTGCACGATGAGCGGGATACAAGCAAGTGCACGATGAGCGGGATACAAGCAAGTGCACGATGAGCGGGATACAAGCAAGTGCACGATGAGCGGGATACAAGCCAGTGCACGATGAGCGGGATACAAGCAAGTGCACGATGAGCGGGATACAAGCAAGTGCACGATGAGCGGGATACAAGCAAGTGCACGATGAGCGGGATACAAGCAAGTGCACGATGAGCGGGATACAAGCAAGTGCACGATGAGCGGGATACAAGCAAGTGCACGATGAGCGGGATACAAGCAAGTGCACGATGAGCGGGATACAAGCAAGTGCACGATCAGCGGGATACAAGCAAGTGCACGATCAGCGGGATACAAGCAAGTGCACGATCAGCGGGATACAAGCAAGTGCACGATCAGCGGGATACAAGCAAGTGCACGATCAGCGGGATACAAGCAAGTGCACGATCAGCGGGATACAAGCAAGTGCACGATGAGCGGGATACAAGCAAGTGCACGATGAGCGGGATACAAGCAAGTGCACGATGAGCCCCGGATACAAGCAAGTGCACGATCAGCGCGGGATACAAGCAAGTGCACGATCAGCGCCGGATACAAGCAAGTGCACGATGAGCGCGGGATACAAGCAAGTGCACGATGAGCGGGATACAAGCAAGTGCACGATGAGCGGGATACAAGCAAGTGCACGATGAGCGCGGGATACAAGCAAGTGCACGATGAGCAGGATACAAGCAAGTGCACGATGAGCAGGATACAAGCAAGTGCACGATGAGCGGGATACAAGCAAGTGCACGATGAGCGGGATACAAGCAAGTGCACGATGAGCGCGGGATACAAGCAAGTGCACGATGAGCGGGATACAAGCAAGTGCACGATGAGCGGGATACAAGCAAGTGCACGATGAGCGGGATACAAGCAAGTGCACGATGAGCGGGATACAAGCAAGTGCACGATGAGCGGGATACAAGCAAGTGCACGATGAGCGGGATACAAGCAAGTGCACGATGAGCGGGATACAAGCAAGTGCACGATGAGCGGGATACAAGCCAGTGCACGATGAGCGGGATACAAGCAAGTGCACGATGAGCGGGATACAAGCAAGTGCACGATGAGCGGGATACAAGCAAGTGCACGATGAGCGGGATACAAGCAAGTGCACGATGAGCGGGATACAAGCAAGTGCACGATGAGCGGGATACAAGCAAGTGCACGATGAGCGGGATACAAGCAAGTGCACGATGAGCGGGATACAAGCAAGTGCACGATCAGCGGGATACAAGCAAGTGCACGATCAGCGGGATACAAGCAAGTGCACGATCAGCGGGATACAAGCAAGTGCACGATCAGCGGGATACAAGCAAGTGCACGATCAGCGGGATACAAGCAAGTGCACGATCAGCGGGATACAAGCAAGTGCACGATGAGCGGGATACAAGCAAGTGCACGATGAGCGGGATACAAGCAAGTGCACGATGAGCCCCGGATACAAGCAAGTGCACGATCAGCGCGGGATACAAGCAAGTGCACGATCAGCGCCGGATACAAGCAAGTGCACGATCAGCGCGGGATACAAGCAAGTGCACGATCAGCGCGGGATACAAGCAAGTGCACGATGAGCGGGATACAAGCAAGTGCACGATGAGCGGGATACAAGCAAGTGCACGATGAGCGGGATACAAGCAAGTGCACGATGAGCGGGATACAAGCAAGTGCACGATGAGCGGGATACAAGCAAGTGCACGATGAGCGGGATACAAGCAAGTGCACGATGAGCGGGATACAAGCGGCAGGTTTACTTCACCCATGAGAGGAAGGGCGAGCAGCAAAAAGGAAGAGCGGCATGGTGGAGGGCAGCATGGTGGAGGGCAGCATGGTGGAGGGTAGCATGGTGGAGGGTAGCATGGTGGAGGGTAGCATGGTGGAGGGTAGCATGGTGGAGGGTAGCATGGTGGAGGGTAGCATGGTGGAGGGTAGCATGGTGGAGGGTAGCATGGTGGAAGGGAACATGGTGCAGCGCACACACGTACCACTCGGACATAGGTTCGCGCGAATCGATCCGCATACTCCTGGGAAGACGGGCGAGGAGGGAAAGGGAGAGACAGTGACAAGTAAGGGGGGCGTGGATGAGGCAGGTGACATAGGCAGAGCCAGCTGGGGCGGGAACAAGCAGGTGGTTGTATCCACATATTTCTCCTCCTTGAGGTGAGTGTGACTGTGTCTGTGTGCACATGTGTGATTGCATGTATATGTCCATTGCGTGCGTGCACGTGTGACTGCGTGGGAAAGGGAGAGCAGCAAGGGTGGGCAGCTGACGGTGTGGGGCAGGAGAGGCAGCTGCTGGTCGCGGCGCAGTGAGATGCTCGATCCGCCCGCCCCTCCTGCCGCGCCCGCAGCGTCAGCGTCGCCATCGGCGCCCTCCTGTATGATGGCCTCCACACACTCGTCCTTCTGCCGCCCCCTCATCACCAGCCGCTGCTGCATGCGCCGCACGCCTGGTGGGCGAGCAGAGAGGGCAGTGCGGAGGGCAGAGGGGAGCGTGAGGGAAGAAAGGAAAAAGAGAGGGGAAAGGAGGAAACTGAGAAGGGAAACGAACCAGGCGGGGGTGTTTCAACAGCTACAATTCACAGCAACCAGGCGGGGGTGTTTCAACAGCTACAATTCACAGCAACCAGGCGGGGGTGTTTCAACAGCTACAATTCACAGCAACCAGGCGGGGGTGTTTCAACAGCTACAATTCACAGCAACCAGGCGGGGGTGTTTCAACAGCTACAATTCACAGCAACCAGGCGGGGGTGTTTCAACAGCTACAATTCACAGCAACCAGGCAGGGGTGTTTCAACAGCTACAATTCACAGCAACCAGGCGGGGGTGTTTCAACAGCTACAATTCACAGCAACCAGGCGGGGGTGTTTCAACAGCTACAATTCACAGCAACCAGGCGGGGGTGTTTCAACAGCTACAATTCACAGCAACCAGGTGGATTCAATAAGCACACAGACCTTGTGGGTTGGAGTCGAGGCGAACAAAGGTAAGCCCACGCATCTTGGGCGCGTTGACGTTGACGCCCGCGGTGAGCAGTGAGAAGCGCAGGCTGCGCTTGCCCTTGGGTTCCGCTGCCTCCTCCCCCCCTCCCGCCAGCGCCTGCCGCACCAACGCCGGGTCGGGGTTGCTGCGCTTGGGCGGGGGGAGGGCTTCCGGGGACGATGGCGCTGGCGGATACAAGCCGTGGCTGGTGGGGCAGAGATACGGGCAGAGACGGGGACGAAGAGGAGGGAAAGGAGGCAAGAGGAAGGTGGCAGTAAGGAAGGAGAGAAAAAAGAAGAGGAAAAAAGGCAGAAGATCGACAAACAGGAAAAAAGGTGAGAACAAATGCATTGCAGTTGTACTTGATAAGCCCAAACAAAACACTGCAACTCTATACAACATACTGCTTGCACCCGGAACGCAAATTGAAAAATTCCCGACAACCGCAACGAAATTCGGGAGCATTGGCAGTCTGAATGTTTGTTCAATTGAAAGAGCGTGGAGCACGGACCTCTTGATGATCGATAGCAGCGCTCCCAACGCTCTCTTTGTGTCTGCTGGAGCCGCGACAACTACCTTCTGCTGCTGCTGCTGCTGCTGCTGCTGCCCCGATGAGCCAGCAGCAGCGGCAACTGCAGTGGTACCAGCTGTAGCCGCTGCAACAGCAGCAAGAGGCTTTGGTTTGTCCCTGTCCTCAGGTGCACCCTCCACCACTATGCCACCCGGGGGGCCGGATGGTGGGGCTGCAACCACTGCCTTGCGCACCTGCTCCCCATCCGCCACCTGAGAAGTAGCCACCATGCCTGCTGCTGCCAGCTGCTGCTGAATAGGCAGGCTGGGTCGGACCTGAGGTTTGGCTTCGGGTGGCGCCATTACAGCCGCAGGTGCAGCCATACCTGCAGCAGCAGCAGGCGACGGTGCTTCAGGAGGCATGGGCAGGCGAGCAGCAGCAACAGCAGGAGTGGCGCCGTCAGGAGCACCTGGTTGCACGGGGTGTGGCTGCTGCTGGCCGTGTGTGGGCGGCGGCAGGTGCGACTGCTGAGCAATGCCGGGCTTGGCCAGTTGGGGCACTGGTGGGCCTGCTGTCACAGATGGAGAGGCAGCGGCAGCAGGCAGGGGAGGGGGCAGGTGTGGGGGAGTGTATCCAGGCATGGGTGGTTGCGATGGGAGTTGACCTGCCTTGGACTGCATGTGCTGTTGCTGTTGCTGTTGCTGCTGTTGTTGCTGCTGCTGCTGCTGCTGCTGTTGCTGCTGCTGCTGCTGCTGCTGCTGCTGCTGCTGCTGCTGCTGCTGCTGCTGCTGCTGTTGCTGCTGTTGCTGCTGCTGCTGCAGTTGTTGCTGTTGCTGCCGCTGCTGTTGTAGTTGCAGCTGTTGTTGCTGTTGCTGCTGCTGAGGTGTAAGCTGCTGTCGATTGCCTTGTAAGAACTGCTGCTGCTGCGCTTGCATCTGCTGCTGCTGCTGCTGCTGCTGTGCCTGCATCGGCTGCATGCGTTGAGGCACTTGCTGCTGTAATTCTTGCTGCCGTTTTTGCAGCTCTTGCTGTTGCTGGAACCGCTGCTGCTGCAATTGCTGCTGTTGTTGCTGTTGTTGCTGCTGTTGTTGTTGCTGTTGTTGCTGCTGTTGTTGTTGCTGTTGTTGTTGCTGTTGTTGTTGCTGTTGCTGTTGTTGCTGTTGCTGTTGCATTTGCTGCTGTTGTTGCTGTTGCTGCTGCATTTGTTGCTGTTGCTGCTGCTGTTGCTGCTGCTGTTGCTGCTGCTGTTGCTGCTGCACTTGCTGTTGCTGCTGCTCCCTTTGCTGCTGCCTCAACCGCTGCTGGTAAAGCAGCATCTGCTGCTGCTGCTGGTACTGCAGCTGAGCCCCAGCCTCCCCTCCTGCTTCCCCCCTGGGGACAGCAACCCCCACGCCCATCATTTCCGGCTTTATGCCTGCCCTCGCTCCTGCCTGCGCCACACCCACAGCTGACCCTGCAGGAACCGACGGCGGGCCTGAACCACCTGCCTGCTGCTGCTGCTGCTGCTGCTGCAACGACTGCTGCTGTTTTTGTTGCTGCTGCTGCTCTGTCATGCCGGGCATGTGAGGAGCAGCACCAGGCAGCTGGGAGGCAAAGTCAGACGGCTGGGTGCGGGAGGATACAGGGAGAGCAGGAGAGGTGGGAGCGGGCGCGGGTGGGAAGGAGGAGGAGGGCATAGAGGCATTGGACGGACTTCGCTCCAAGGTAGGCTCGTGCTTCACACTCGCCCTCTCCTCTGCTGCTGCTGCTGCTGCTGCTGCTGCCCCTGCTGTAGGTAATTGGCCAGGGTAAGGAGCCTGGCCTTGCCTTTGCTGCTGCTGCTGCTGCTGCTGCAACTGTTGCTGCAACTGCTGCTGCTGCTGCTGCTGCTGCTGCTGCTGCTGCTGCTGCTGCTGCTGCTGCTGCTGCTGCTGCTGCTGCTGTCGTTGCTGCATCTGTTGTTGTTGTTGCCACTGTTGCTGCTGTTGTTGTTGTAGCTGCTGTTGCTGCTGCTGCTCCTGTTCCTGCTGCTGTTTCAGCTGCTGCTGCTGCAATTGCTCCTGTTTCTGCTGCTCTAGCTGCTGCTGCTTCTGCTGCTCTAGCTGCTGCTGCTTCTGCTGCTCTAGCTGCTGCTGCTTCTGCTGCTCTAGCTGCAGCTCCTGCTGCTGCTTCTGCTGCAGCAATAGCTGCTGTTGCTGCTGCTCCTCCTCGTGCTGCTTCTGCTGCAGCAGCTGCTGCTGTCTGCGACGCTGCAGCTCCACCTGCTGCTGCTGGAACAGGGACATACGCTGCTTCCGCAGCACAGGCACAGGCATCGCATGGGACAGCCCCGTATCCGCCCCACCAAACTCATCCAGCGACTCGTTCTTATCCTCCCACCCAGCATCCAACCCTCCATCAAGACTCTCCTCCAACCCCCCATCCAATCCCCCATCCAGCCCCCCGTCCAGCCCCCCATCTAGCCCCCCATCCAGCCGCCCATCCAATGCATCGTCCAGCCCCCCGTCCTCGCCCCCAGCGCCACCCTGCCCCTGCTCCAGTTCACCCCCCAGGCCCCCCTCGGCTGCAATACCCACCCCTGCTGTGCCGCCTGCTGCTGCACCTGCCCCTGCTACAGCCGTCCCTGCTGGTGCAGCCGCTCCCCCGAATGCCCCACCCAGCAGGCCTGCACTCATGAGCAGGAACTCATCTGCACCCATCTCCACCTTCCCACCACCCCCACCAACAGCAGCGGCGGTGGCGGCTACAGCACTGGCAGCAGCAGCAGAAGCAGCGGCAGCAGCGCCACCAGCACCAGCTGCAAGCTCAGGAGCAGGAGCAGCGGCGACCTCTGGAGTTGCTGCTGCGTCTGATAAGAGGCCAAAGGCGTCAGCAGGGCCCGCCACAGCGGATGGGAGCGAGCCAGGCAGAGCTCTGGACGTGGCGGCAGCAGCAGTGGCGGCGGCTGACATGGCTGTAGCAAGGGCTGGAGGGAGGGTGGGGGAGAGAAGGGTGCCATCGCCCTGCTTTGCTCCGGAAACACCATACCCCAGCAGACTGTCTATCGATATCTCAGGCACCATCTGCTGCTGCTGATGCAATTGCTCTTGCTCTTGCTCTTGCTCTTGCTCTTGCTGTTGCTGTTGCTGTTGTTGCATTTGCTGCTGCTGCAACTGCTGTTGCTGCTGCTGTTGTTGCAGTTGCAGCTGCTGCTCTTGTTGCAGTTGCTGCTGCTGCTTTTTCTTTTTCAAATTTGCCTTCTTCTTGCTTGTTGCCTTCTCCTGCGTTTGTGTGGACATCCCCTTTTCGTCAACCAGCAGCGCCCCCCCCTTCACACCCATCTGCTTCTTCGCCTTCTTCTTTTTCTTCTTCAGCTTTTGTTGCTGCAGGGGAGTCTTATCCTCACCCAGCCCCTTCCTTGCTTTCTTCTTTCCCTTCTTCACCTTACTTCCTCCCATTGCTTCTGCAAGAAGAAAAGGAGGAGGGCGAGAGAGGGGCGGAGGAAGGATGTCAGAGAGGGGAGCAATGCAGATAACATCAGTCCGCCCTGTGAATGAAAGAAGCACAGAATACCCCACCCCTGCTCAAGCCACACGTGTCAGGGCACCAGCCAAGCCATGCCCCAGCATCCCATCCCCCACCATCCCCAACGCTTACTTCGTTTTGCAGACCCCTTCCCACCCCGTCGCTCTTCCTCCTCCTCCTCCGCCTCGCCATCATCAGGCGCGACAGCATCCCCAGCCACGGCGCGGCGGAGGGGCGAGAGGGGGTCCCACGCGGGGGGGAGGGCGAGGCGGCGGTACTTGAGCAGCCCGCGGTGCCGCGACGCAGGCGGCACGGCGTTCAGCTTCGCCTTGTGGAAATGCTGTTGACGCGCCACCTCGGCCACGCGCGGACTGGGGTCCAGACACAGCGGCGGCTGCACTGCTCTCAGGATGCGTGCTTCCACCTCCTGGTAGGGGCACACGGAGGGTGGGAGGGAAGTAGGGAGGCAGGGAGCGAAGGGAGGGAGTAAGGGGTGAATAAGATGATACCACTGCACTGCATTGGCCCTGTGAATGTACCACTGCCTCGGCACCTCGGACACGCGTGGGCTGGGATCCAGACACAGCGGCGGCGACTGCACTGCCCTTAACATGCGTGCCTCCACCTCCTGGTGTGGGGGAGGGTGGAGGTACTGAGGGAAGCAGAGAGGGAGGCAGGGAGAGAGTGGGAAATAAGACAATCTTGCAGCATTGCATAGATCTTGTGGGCACAGCGGACACTACCAGCAACGAGCAGCCCCCGTACACGTACTGTCACCACTCCGCACCCACCAGCATGACGTGTCACCACTCTGCACGCCCCAACACGCTTTTCCACCACTCTGCACCCACCAGCACGCATTTCCACCACTCTGCACGCACCAGCACGCCTTTCCACCACTCCCAACCCACCAGCATGTCCTGATACGACCAGGAGGCGTCAGCCATGGCGGCCACGTCCTTCGCAATGCTCTCAGACGTGGGTCGCAGCACCACACGCCACGTCCTCACCGGGCCCTCGCCCGCCCGCCGCCCCGCTGCCTCCATTGCTGCTGCTGGCGAGGACCCCGGGGGGATCCGCGCTATGCTGCCGCCCCGCCCCTCCGCCAGCTCGCGGTAGTCGCGCACCTGGGCGCATGGCGGAGGAGGGAGGACGGGAGGCGTGGGGGGTGTGGGAGGGGGAGGGGCTTATATAATGCGCACGCATAATGTATGATGCATGATGCATGGTGAATGCTGTATGCTGCACGGTGTGTGAATAGTTGAGTCGAAATAAAATAAAAGTGTTGCACTGCGCTACAAATGCAGGCGCATGGGAGCAGCAATCCAGTCACACCTCGCAGGAAACACATCCGTTGCGGTAGATGCAGGGGATGTCGTGCAGCAGGTCCCCAGGCAGATGCCCGGTGTCAATCGCCTGCACAGCACACACACGCCAACACATCAACGCACGCATGCATGCACGCACCGCTGGTGAGTCGCATGCCGGAAGAAGGCGAAAGGTAACTTGAAAGCCAAAGCAGCGTGCTCACGATTGCTGTGACGTGAAGCCTGACGCATGGAATAGAGAGAATCAAGCGGGCTGAGGGGTGTACAGACACGGTTACGGAGCTCACATTGGCCGGGCGTGGACTCACCTGCAGGAACGACTCGGTGGAGCGGTCGTACGGGTACAGCTTCGCCACCAGCGCTTCCGGTAGGCGCGGCGGAGGGCGGCCGTCCTGCGAGACATCGCGCCACGCGGGACGGACTAGGAGAGAGCGATCGGGGGGATACGATTGTGCAATGCGATGGACGCTGATTGGAAACGACAAACTGAAGTAACGGATTAGTAACAGTTGTTAGATAGCGACGGGAATCGAGCATCTGAATGACGGTCATGACGCCAAGCTACACGCTTGACCCTGCGATCAAGAACGGGAGCGGGAAGGCGTGCGTTCTACGCAGGCCAAATGGCGCATTGCAAGGATTACACCTAACGAGGCAGCGAAGAGTCTAGAATGCCTCCTACACTGCGGTACCGTACTCGTAAAAGCTGCTTCGAACCTGCGTGGGAACGTCGATGGAGAAGCCTTCGGGGAAGATATTCAGAGCGAAGGAGCAGGGCATCTCGCCCACCACGCCGGGCTCCCACGCTCCTCGCCCTCCACCTGACGCCGTCGACATGGACACACCACGCGAACCCTTGCTCTTGAGTCGTTCCCCTGCAACCCTAACTTGCGTAGCAGCAACTGAAAGCTAGTCCCAGGAAGGTAGCCGCACGCAAATGCTTCGTCTCGTTCGTCTGCAACGAGTAGTAACCGCGACGATCGGAATATAGCCGCGCTAGACATACAAGCTTCTAGCGGTCTGTCATTGGCTGATTGTAGTGGCGGGGCGACTGGCTCAACGTAACGAATCGTGGGCGATCAAATTGATATAACGCGAATAGCACTTACCTTAGAGAGAACCCAATATATGTGCTCTGGTGGAAGAAAGTACAACAGTTTCCAAGTTTTAATGAACTCCAAAAAGACAGTCTTAATCGTTCAAATTCAAGAGCTCCTAGTTAGGTCTCAGGGTCTCCCAAAGATTTCCAGTAATTTTAAGTGCCAAAATGATTCAGGAAAACTATCCATGATTGCTCTTTCTTTTATGTTCCATAAGAATACTGGAATGAAGGTAAAGTATCGTAGAGGAGCCGAAGTTGAACTCAACTGGGTGGTTCATTCCTGCAATCGCGTCCGACAATGGCGACGACATTGTGTGCGCCAACATGAAACACACGTGCAGGCCCGACGAGCCCAGCTCTCCTGCTGAGCTGGCTGATAGTTCGTTTCCAGCGTGGCAACACGTCACTTGCAACGAATGTCAGAGCACTCGGTACAGTTTCAGTTTCCCGCCAACCTGCTGGGTTTTGTCAACTTTGTCAGAGCAGGCTCGAACGGGAGGCAGTCAGACATTCTCGACGCTGATTTCCCTCTCATCAGCAACTGGTCATCGCTTTATTTCTCGAGTTATGTAGTTGTAGTTCCTGTATACTTGCTTTCCGCTGTCACTCATCCCATTTCGTCGGCGCTTACGCGTGCTAACAACGAATATTGGGCTGCGATCAACCATGGAATCACCAGTCTGGATCGTGCACAACATACGACATCTCTCGTACCACTGATTGCTTCGCAATGGCTGGTTAACAACAAATGGATAGGGAGCGGAGAGCCAGCCATGGCATCGCTTTCACAGTCACAGACGACGGCATTACTTCGGCCAGAAGCATTCAGAGGGCGACATTACCCTGAGTGGCATCCTCCCACCCGCCATCTAGTCACACCGTTCCTTCGCCCTGACTTTTCACCGATTCTCCCTGCTGCACCATCCCCCTTCTTCCTTACCGCGCCACGCATCCCTGCGATCGGCGGTTATGGAAGAAGCCGGCGGGTGGCAGTGTCGTCCATTCTCACGCGGCAGGATGGGCAGGCGGACGAAGGAATGGATGCGCGGAAGGCGCAAAGGGCAGCGCAGAAGAGCGAGGCGGCGAGCGCGGCGAGGCAGGGAGGCGGCGTGACGGGAAGGGGAGCGCAGATGAGCGGAATGCAAGGAGCAGTGGGAAGCGGGGAGCAGGCGGGGGATGGAAGGGAAACCGCAGTGCAACGGCCAAGTGCGCAGCATCAGCAGGATCAACAGCAGCAGCAGCAGCTGGAGCAGGCGGAGGGAGCACGCAAGGCGTCAAGCAGCGTGCGCGCTGTGGAGCGCGTTGCCGCTGCCCGCCAGGGCGGGGCAGCTTCGTGGAGACCTCCCACCTCGCTCACTCGGATGCCGTCCCTCAACCGAGCCTCGGGCTTCCAGGGGCTAGGGCTAGGCTCGGGCATTCAGGAGCTAGGCTCGGGCTTTCAGGGGCTAGGCTCGGGCTTTCAGGGGCTAGGTTCGGGCATTCAGGGACTAGGCTCGGGCATTCAGGGGCGCGCATCAGCAGTGCGCAGCAGGCTGCAGGGGGGCGCGATGGAGGCGGGGAGTCGGATACAGGGCGGCGCGTACGGCGTGGGCAGCTCCCTCCAGGACACGGCCGCCGTGGTGGGCGGCGTGATTCAGGGCCGCGCCGTGGAGGTCGGGGGTGCGATCCAAGGCAAGGCGGTTGCGGTGGGCAGCACGATACAGGACACGGCAGTAGTGGTGGGGGGTGCGATCCAAGATAAGGCAGTGGCAGTGAGCAGCACAATACAAGACACAGCAGTAGTGGTGGGAGGGGCGATTCAAGACACGGCAGTGGTGGTAGGCAGCAGGATTCAGGGCAAAGCGGTGGAGCTGCAGGAGAGAGCGGTGGAGGTGGGTACGAGCATCCAGGACAGGGCGGTGGAGGTGAGCAGCAGCCTTCAGGACCGCGCGGTGCTGCTGCAGGGCAAGGCCGTGGAGGTGAGCAGCACGCTGCAGGACGTGGTGTCGGAGGTGGGGCAGGTGGTGACTGAGGTGGGTGTGACTATACAGGAGAAGCAGCAGGAGATCGCCAAGGTGGTGCAGCACACGGCGGAGGACGTGGAGAGGAGCCTCCCGCCCCCCGCGCAGGGCGCACTGCGCACGGCGGGGTCGGGCGTGCAGGCGGTGGTGAGCGTGGTGGCGCCCGTGCTGGACCGCATTCCCGTAACGCGCGGGCAGCTGGCGGGCGCGGCCGTGGTGGTGGTGCTGTTCATCAAGGCCGTGGAGCAGTGGTGGTACCAGTTCCAGCAGGACTCGCGGTGAGCTGAGGAGGGGGACGTGGAAGTTAGGGGTGTCAGTGAGAAAGTGAGGTGGCGGTTGGGCGTTTGGGTGAGGGATGGTGATGGAGCATGGCACATGCACTGGGCTGCGCCCTCTCTGCCTGCATGCCCGCTCACCTCACATGCATGTCCCGCCTGCTGATGCGCCCGCCCTTCCTCCCTCCCTTCCTTCCTCCCTGCCATGCCTGGCAGGGGCTCGACACACTTTGACATCCCGGAGCGCATCCGCGTGGAGGCGCCGTCGCCCCTGCCACCGCCTGTGCCTGTGGCGTCGACGCGGCAGCAGGTGGACGTGCGGCGCAAGGAGCCCATGGAGTGGGTCAACATGCTGCTGCGCAAGGTCAGTCCACGCCCGTCAACGCCGGTCAACGCGAGGCAACGCTTGTCATTGCCAGTCAATGCTGGTCAACGCCGGTCATCGTTGGTCAATTCTGTTCTAGGCAGGTCAATGCAGGTCAAGGCTGGACGTATAGGGTCAAATGCAGGGCGCAAGCAACGGTTGGAGTCCATGAAAGGCCACGCTCATGCCCTGGAACCCACACACAAACATGCTGAGTCTTCACCCACTCCACCCCACCCCCACCCACACGCTCTGCATGTACCGCACAGGGCTGGCGCGGTGGATGGGGAGAGCCCTGCACGCCGGTGCCCGTCAGGTCCATGCTCTCCAAGTATACCCCCCACATGCCTTCTCCCCCCTATCCCCCTTTCCCCCCACCCTCTTAGGTGTTCCGCATATACTGCATGGCCTGGAGCGCTGGATGGTGGGCATCGTTCCAGCAGGTGGCTGTCAGGTCAAGGCTCTCAAGGTGTGGCCCTACTCCCCCACTCACCCCCTTCCCTTCTTCCCTCACCCCTCCAGGTCTTCCGAATCTACCGCACGGGGTTGGAGCGGTGGATGGTGGGCATCGTGCAGGCAGGTGGCTGTAAGGCTTGTAAGTTATGCCCCCACACGCTTCCTCTCCCTCCCCCTCCCCTCCAGGTCTTCCGAATCTACCGCACGGGGTTGGAGCGGTGGATGGTGGGCATCCTGCAGCCGCTCATCGATGAGACGCCCAAGCCACGTGGCGTGCAGCGCGTGCGCATCAAGCAGTTCTTCCTCGGCGACGAGCCGCCCTCCCTGCGCTCCATTGAGCGCCGCACCTCAAGGCGCGGCAACGACTTGCAGTGAGTGCGGTGCAGAGTGATAGAGCAGTGGTGTAGTGTGGTAGTAAGTGGTTTCATGGTGTATGGTGCGCATCAAGCAGTTCTTCCTCGGGGAACGAGCTTCCCTCACTGTGCTCCATTGAGAGGCGCACATCCTGTCGCAACAATGACCTGCAGTGATTATGGTGCCGTGCACTGGCATGGTGCTACTAGTGTCCAGCCCATCGGACTGTGTCTTGCTCTTCACCACTATCTATCGCCGCAGACGCCATGGCACATCGTGCCGTCATCCACTCGCATTCCGTCTTCTTCTACCAACCATGCCATTGACGTCCTTCACCTTCACCCTCACTGTGGCACCTTCACCTCCACCATGAATGCCACTCCCTGTGATGACATGGCACTCTGGGAACCGTTCCTCACAACCGCACCGTTTATCCCCTTCACACCATTCCCTTCACCATCCCACTCCCATGCTCATCCTCATCCCCATCCTTATCATCTCCCCTCGGCCCAGGTACTACGTGGGGGTGGGGTACCACGTCCAGCCTTATCATGCGGTGCAGAGCGATGCTGCTGTCTATCACGTGGCACATCCTGCCTGTCATCCACTCTCGTCCCATCCCCTTCTCACAACCATGCGATTGACTCCCTTCACCTACTCTGCACCACTTCCTGTGGGGCCATGGCACCCTTGGAAGACATGTCATCCCCTTCACCATTTCCTTCACCATACCCGCTCCCATCCCCATCCCCATCATCCTCCTCACCACCAGGTACCACGTGGGGGTGCGGTACACGGGGGGAATGCGCATGCTGCTGGAAGTGCCGGTGGACGTGAGCATGGGGCTGTCCGCCATCCCGCTCACCGTGCCCATCCCCGTGGGCGTGCGCAACTTTGACGTGGACGCGGAGGTGTGGGTGCGCCTGAAGCTGATCCCCGTGGAGCCGTGGGTGGGCGCGCTCACGTGGGCCTTCGTCTCCATGCCCAAGGTCAAGCTCACGCTCGCGCCCTTCCGCGTCGTCAACCTCATGTGTAAGCGCTGCGGGCCTTGGGGGGAGCGGGGCTGTGGAAAGGTGGTGGGTGGGTGACAAGTGGGTGATTCGCATGGAGGCGTGATGTTCACTTGATGGTCCTCTATCTTTCGCTGAGGATGTATGCCCATGAGGTTGTGAGGGGAAATGTGACGCCTGAATAGCCTCTTTCATGCTTCTTTGACTTGTGCCTTTCTCCTGTGCGCATGTGCCATCCCTGCTGTTGCCATCGGGGCACCCATGCGTCCACACATCTCCCTGTAATGATTTCGCCATCGCCATCACCACCAGCTATTCCATTCCTCTCAAGGTGAGCCGCCAAACGAGCAGCCCTCCAAACATTCCACGCGAGCAGGCCAAATCGTCTGTTGGATTCGTTAACTGCTGCCTGCTTGCTCGCTCTCTCATCTGCTACCTGTGCTGCACTCCATCTATGCACCTGCTGCTGCCTCCCGTTCCTCTTGTACTCGTTGTCCCATATCCCATCCGCCACCCACACAACCATCTCCCATCTCTGTCCACTCTTCCGTTGCTCTTTCCCCTCCCCGTCCCCTCTCCCCTTCCCTTTATCCCCCCAGGTACCTTCAGGCGCTGCTAACGGAGGAGCTGCCGGCGCGCTTCCTGCGGCCCAACAGCAAGGAGGTGGACCTCCTCAAGGACCGCCCGCTGCCGCCCGACCCCGCCCAGCGCGAGTTCCGTGAGGGGCAGGTGGCGAGCGGCACTCTGGGCTTCGCTGGGGAGCTGCAGGTGACGGTCATTGCCGCCCAGCGCGTCATCAACCTGCCCCTCGGTACGACCTCGTCTGTCATGGTGTGGAATCACCCGTTTGTGGACTGCTCGTTACAAGAACACTCGGTGAAGTGGTGAGGCGGGAGTCAACGGGTCCTGTCTTCCCCTCACCCCCCGTGCTCCCCCCTCTCCCTCAGGCGACAGCGATCCCTACGTGGTGTTGGAGTTGGGGCAGCAGGTGGCGCGCAGCAAGCGCAACAGCGAGACATCGCTGGTGGGGCCGGCGGGGTACCCCATATGGAACCAGGACTTCGTGCTGCTCGTGCTCGACCCAACCCTGCAGCGCCTCTCCGTCAAGCTCAGGGGCTCGTTGGGGCTCTTCTACGTGGACTTCGGGCACGGCTCGGTGAGAGAAGGGGTATGGTGAGAGGGGAGCCCACAGTGAGGGGGGAGATGGTGGGCGGGGTACCCCATATGGAACCAGGACTTGTTGCTGCTCGTGCTCCACCCCTCGCTGCAGCGCCTCTCTGTCAAGCTCCGCGGCTCGCTTGGCCGTCTATGTCAACTTTGGCCACGGCTCGGTGAGGAGGGGAGGGGCACATGGGAGGGGCTGAAGAGTGAGGGGAGGGGACGGTGAAGAGGGCAGGGCCCGTTGAGGGAAGGGGGGACGTTAAAACGGGCAGGTGACGCTAGCAAGTGCTGGTCGTGCTCCACCCTCCCTGCGCCACCTCTTGGTCAAGCTCCGGGGTCTCTGGCGTTCTTCTACGTGGACTTTGGGCACGGCTTGGTGAGGGGGAAGGGGGCACAGTGAGGCGGGAACAGAGCACGGTGAGGCGGGAACAGAGCATGGTGAGGGGGCAGGGGGCACTTTTAGGGGGGCGGGGGACGGTAAGGAGTGTGCATGGAGTGAGTCGTTGCAAGTGAACCTTCTGACTTTCCTGTTCAAAGCCACATGTGCTGCCCCTCTCTCCTGCCCCTCCGCTGTCCCACCGCAGGTGCGCCTGGGCTCCCTGCACGACACGCTGCCAACACACGTGTGGGCTCCGCTGCACAACCCTCCTGTTTCTCGTCTACACTGCCCTCCTGTTTCTCGCCCATTGCAGGTGCGCCTGGACGCGCTACAGGACACGGTGCCAACGGACGTGTGGGTGCCGATGCGCCTGCGCCTGCCAGTGGGGCAGAAGGCGTGTGGGCGGGTGAAGATGCGCCTCACGTACAAGGCGTTCGTGGCGGAGGACGACCACCAGGACGTCGAGACGTTCGACCAGCCCTACAGCGAGGCTGAGAGCGACGGGGAGGGCGCGGATGCGCTCGCTACAATTTCTCGCCTCCGGCGGTTTGTTGCTGACGTGGCGGACTCTGCTGCTCCGCCGGAGCTGATGAGGATCCTGGAGAATGTGAGGGTGGGCGAGATCCCACGTGTCGTTGACCTGGAGCGACTCAGTAGTGACGTGGCGAAGCTGTCTGACCTGGCACGTGCGCTCGAGGTGGCGCTGTTCAAGGACGTCAACCGATTGGCGGAGCTCCCGAGGCTGTCGGATCTTCCCAAGATGAAGGAGTTCTCCGTGCTTGCTGAGCTGGCGAGTATCCGCGCTGACATCGAACGGCTGGCGCAGGCGGCCCGTGCGCTGGAGCTGGGCGCTGAGCTGGAGAAGCGCGTGAAGGTGGATCTGTCGCGGATCGATCTGGACCTGTCGTCCGTTGATCTGCCCAAGTGGGACGAGTGGATGGCTGTGCCGCGCCGAGCCCTGCCCCAGCCCAAGGACCTGGTGGAGCGCTACCGCCTGCTGCTGCCCGATGCTGAGTCCCGGCGCCGCCAGCGCGAGCGAGAGGCGCGTGCGGAGGGCGGGGAGGAGGGGCGTGACGATGATGGTGATGATCCGGATGGTGGGACCGGAGGGGTGAGGCAGCGGGGAGGTTGGTGGAGAGGTGGGTGGAATGGGAAACGTGGGGAAGGAGGGCGGAGGAACGAGGGAAATGGAAGGGGAGGGGCAGGAGGGAAGAGGGAGCGGACGGGTGTTTCAGGGGTGGTGAGACGAGGCATGACGTTGTGGCGCGGGGAGAGTGGACGAGAGGGCGCGGAGGAGGGGAAGCGGGACAGAGTGGATGGAGGAGAGGGAGTGAGAGACGGGAGGGAAGGAGGAGGAGGGGGAGACGGGAAGGAAGGAGGAGGAGGAGGGGGAGAAGCAGGAGGAGGGGAGTGGGCATCAGGGGGGAGGAAGAAGATACGAAGGGTGACGCCAGCAGTGGTGGCGGAGGGACGGGGCAAGAGTGCCGTGGTGAGGAGAGGGGCAGAGGGGCAGCGGGCGGAAGGGGTGGAGGGGGCGTTTGAGTGGAGGGAGGCGCTTCAGGTGTTTGAGGACGTGTGGGGCATGATGGACGGCTCCCCCTCCATGCAGCCGGGGTCACTCTCGGGCAGACAGAGCACCTCCGTGCCGGATGCCCCAGTGTGGCGTGGGAGGGCGCGCTCAGATGCCCTAGCAGGCCAGTTGAGAGCGGATGCGGAGCAGGAGGGAGGGGTTGGAGAGGGGCGATATGGGAATGGGCGGGCGGGGATGAGTGAGGAGAGGTTTGAGAGGGTTGAGGGTGAGGGGGGAGGGAAGGTGGAGGGAGACAAGGGGGTCAATGGGAATGGCAGAGTGGCACAAGGAATAGTCACTGCTGATGTGGATGAGGAGGGTGCCAGCATGGCAGCACATGCAGCTGAGTCAGCAGCGGCGGCCATGGCAGGACGAGGCAAGGGGTGGATCTCGCCCTCCCTGCAGTCTGCTGGTGGTGGGGCGAGTGGTGGGCGCGGTGTGGGGCATAGGGATGGTGACAGGGGGGGGGATGGGGATGAGCAAAATGCAGGAGGGAAAAGTGGAAGTGGGGCAGTAGCAGGGGTGGAGGGGCGAGGGGTGGAGGAGGAGAAGGGGGCGAGGGGTGGAGGTTCAACAAGGGGAGAGAGGAGGTGGTGGGAGGTGTGGAGGTGAGAGGTGAGGGATGAGAAGGGAGGAGGAGAACTAGGGAAGGGGAAAGAGGGTTGGGGAGGCGGTGAGATTGATGTAGGAGATGCAAGTGAGGCTGTAGGATGAAGGGAGGATGATCTGCACTCAGCTAGACGACACGGTGTGATTGATGGTGGGGAGTAGAGGGCTCAGAGTGAGAGCAGGGGGGAAGAACGTTGAGGTGGTTGGGAAGGAAAGGCTTGAGTTTGGAAGTGGGGAGAGGGGGGTGGCAAGGGAAGGGGAGATTGGAGGGGGAGGAGGTGGAGGCGGCTGTGGTGGTCTCGGTGTGGCATCAGGGCTCAGTTGATCATGGTGTAGCTGGTGGCACCTGGTGGCGGATGCAGAGAATGTACCGTACAAGTCTTGAAGGTGTGTGTATAGGTGGCTCCTATTTATGTAGGTTTATGAATTATTCCCATGTGTTGTGCCACATGGTCGCAGTACTAGGTGTCCTATCAATGCATGAGGTGTCCAAAGTGTTAAATAAGGTTTTGTTGTAGGAGCAATGTGAATTTTAGAAACATGGCATGCTACCGTATGCTGAGGTATGGTTTGATACTGCCACAAGGCACTATAGCGAAAGAATGGTAGGACGGCAGCACTATGCATGCATGGACCCAAGTCGTACGCAATGTGTGCTTTTTGTACGCCCTCGGCATAAGATGTAATAGTAGGCTATTAGGATCAAGGTGTGATGGAAATGAAACGATGTAGCGATAGTGAAACCTTCTCCCCAGCTACTTTCAGCTAATTCTTTTTATCGCAGCATTTTAAAGCATGGTCAATCTTTCCGACCAGGCCGCACCACAGGCATCAAAGATTGTGGTGGTGGGCGTAGTGCATGCGTAGTTGATCGTCCCATCCAGTCAAGTTCGAAGGCAATTCGAGGACGACTTTTACCTCAGCCGAGCCAACCGCATTTTATGCTGAAATATATGACGACTCCGATTGTAAGCGATTTGAAATGCGGTAGCAGGTGGCTGCGTGCCTTTTCAAAGCAACGCTGAAGCAAGTCGGCCCAAACCAGAGGTCATCGAAGGCGGCAGAATGCTGGAGAACATGTCCGAGATAGGAGACGACGCGTTTGACGAGACTCCTCCGGTTTCCCAATCCGTGATTCATCGTCAAAATTCATGCGGAAATGCTGCTCTTGGTGAGCTTTGCACTACGGATTCAGCTTATCACGAGGCTGACGGAATGGAACGACGGAGTGATGGAGCGGACCTGTTCCGCGTGGTGATCGTTGGTGCGGGCCCAGCAGGTCTAGTTCTAGCGAATCACCTGCTGACACGTGGCGGCGGTAGGTTCCACGTAAGTGTGGTGGAGAAGAGCGAGGACCCGCGAAAGAAGGTGGAGGAGGCGGTGGAGGTCGCGAGGAGGTGAGCTGATCGCATTGGGGAGGTGGGCTGATCGCATAGGGGAGGTGAGCTGATCGCATTGGGGAGGTGAGCTGATCGCATTGGGGAGGTGAGCTGATCGCATTGGGGGGAGTGGCAGGGTGTAGGGAGGGCGTTGGGCAAGGAGTGGGGGAATGTGGGGTGGGTGAGGGGGAGAAGGAGGGCGTTGGGGGAAGAGGGGGACGGGGGAAGAGGGGGGTGGGGGAAGAGGGGGATGGGGGAAGAGGGGGATGGGGGAAGAGGGGGGTGGGGGAAGAGGGGGGTGGGGGAAGAGGGGGATGGGGGAAGAGGGGGGTGGGGGAAGAGGGGGGTGGGGGAAGAGGGGGGTGGGGGAAGAGGGGGGTGGGGGAAGAGGGGGATGGGGGAAGAGGGGGGTGGGGGAAGAGGGGGGTGGGGGAAGAGGGGGATGGGGGAAGAGGGGGGTGGGGGAAGAGGGGGATGGGGGAAGAGGGGGATGGGGAAGAGGGGGGTGGGGGAAGAGGGGGGTGGGGGAAGAGGGGGATGGGGGAAGAGGGGGGTGGGGGAAGAGGGGGAAGGCGGAAGAGGGGGGTGGGGGAAGAGGGGGAAGGCGGGATCAGAGCCAAGTGTTGTCGTGCGGGGTATGGTTGGCTGATAAGATAACGGTACATACCAACGGAATCGACCAGGGATTATCAGTCTCTTACCCATCACTCTGTCCTATCGTTTTCCCTCCTATCCCCTTCTCCCACCTCTCATGTCCACGTCAATTCTCTCCCTTCCATCTCCACCGTAGATATTTCATCGGACTCAACATCCGAGCGTTCCGATGCCTGGATGCGGTCCCTGGCCTGTTGAAGAAGGTGCGTCACGGGAAAGAGGGTCTCGCAAGAATACCCCATGTGCGCTAAATGAGCGACTGTGTCAGTGAATCCCACCGCACCTGAACGAATGAAATGCCGTCTGCCCCGAGGCCGGGATGCCATTCCAATCGCCTCAAGGGGGAAGCAGAGTACAAGGCAGAGGCAGAGGCAGAGGGGCGTCAAGTCCACTCCATAGTATGCATGCAACCGCTTTCAGCGGGCACTGTTACTCCTTGTAATTCCCCTTTAGGTCCTGCTGCGCGCGGCCCTGTCATGGCTTCACGTCGCCCTGTCATGGCTTCACGTCGCCCTGTCATGGCTTCACGTCGCCCTGTCATGGCTTCACGTCGCCCTGCTCCCGCCACCCACCACCAGGTGCTGGCCTGCATGGTTCTCGTGCGCCAGCTGTGCGTTGCCATCTCTGCCAAGCCGTCAGTCATCCCTTTCAGTCACAAGGTGAGCCCACTCGTTTCCCATGCATGCCCCTTGCAAGGCAGCCATTTGACCCTGTTCCTCCCCTTTCATCCCCTTCCTTCCCTTTCCATGACCAATCATGTGCTACCAGCGCCCTCCATCAAGCATTTCTCCGTCCGTCCTCCTGCCTCCCCCCTGCAGGACCCGCCAGTGCTGCTCGCTGATCGCACGGCCCTCTGCTGTGCTCTGCTGCACGCGCTGGTGGGGGAGGATGCGCACGCAGGGGTCCCAGTTGGGGATAACGGGGAGGATGAGGGGGAGGGGTGTGGGGGAAGGCCAGTGGGGGATAACGGGGAGAGTAACGAGGAGATGTGTGCAAGGAGAGGAAGGGAGAGCAAGGACGGCTCAGGAGGTAGTGCGGTAACGCACGGCGCCGGGTCATCACGGGGAAAGCTGGAGCTGTACTTCAACACGCGGTGCACAGGCATTGACATCAATGCACACACTGTCACCCTGCAGCCCGCCCCGGGGGGGAATGCTGCCCGCCTGCAGCCCGCTCACTCAGTAGAGCGGCGAGCCGTGGTGACAGGGACAGTGGCTGTGGCAGGTGCATCAGCAGCAGGCGTGGCGAGCAGTGAGTGTGGAGGTCCAGCTGGTGCTGGTGTGGACGCCCAGCGCCTCCAGCAGCACCCGCCAGCCCAGCTCACCTATGACCTCCTGGTACTCACAGCTCTGCTATGACCTCCTGGTACTCACAGCTCTGCTATGACCTCCTGGTACTCACAGCGCCCTCCTCCGCACCCTGTGTGTGCATGCTCACTTGCTTCATTGCGTCAAGATCTCCTTTCGTGGCTTGAGAGTTCTTAATGTCATGTGTGATATCATATCAGATCATATCAGAGCATATCATGTCATATCGTATCATTCCATCCCATCCCATCCCATCCCATCCCATTCCATCCCATCCCATCCTATCCCATCCTATCCCAGCCCATCCCATGCCATGCCATGCCACTGACAGGTGGGGGCGGATGGGGTGCGCTCTGTGGTGCGGAGCGCGCTGGTGAGCAGCGCGGGGGGGTTCGCCATGGAGGCACTGCCGCTCTTTGGGGAGTGGGTCGTGGCCTCCATCCCTGCCCCCACCTCCCTTCCCCCCAACTCCATGATTCTTGTTCCAAGGGTAAGTGGTAGCCATGTAACTTCATGCCTTGAAGGCGCCCCAGGATGTAACGAGGCACAGTGGTGGCGTGATAGGTGTTGGGGTGGCTGCCACGCACTCATGGAATCTCCCAGACAGCATAGCACCAGCCATTCGCACAGACGGCACCCTGTGGTGTGTTGTGCTGCGTGCACCCCTGTGGTGTGTTGTGCTGCGTGCACCCCTGTGGTGTGTTGTGCTGCGTGCACCCCTGTGGTGTGTTGTGCTGCCTGCATCCCTGTGGTGTGTTGTGCTGCCTGCATCCCTGTGGTGTGTTGTGCTGCCTGCATCCCTGTGGTGTGTTGTGCTGCCTGCATCCCTGTGGTGTGTTGTGCTGCCTGCATCCCTGTGGTGTGTTGTGCTGCCTGCATCCCTGTGGTGTGTTGTGCTGCGTGCATCCCTGTGGTGTGTTGTGCTGCGTGCATCCCTGTGGTGTGTTGTGCTGCCTGCATCCCTGTGGTGTGTTGTGCTGCGTGCATCCCTGTGGTGTGTTGTGCTGCCTGCATCCCTGTGGTGTGTTGTGCTGCCTGCATCCCTGTGGTGTGTTGTGCTGCCTGCATCCCTGTGGTGTGTTGTGCTGCCTGCATCCCTGTGGTGTGTTGTGCTGCGTGCATCCCTGTGGTGTGTTGTGCTGCCTGCATCCCTGTGGTGTGTTGTGCTGCCTGCATCCCTGTGGTGTGTTGTGCTGCCTGCATCCCTGTGGTGTGTTGTGCTGCCTGCATCCCTGTGGTGTGTTGTGCTGCCTGCATCCCTGTGGTGTGTTGTGCTGCCTGCATCCCTGTGGTGTGTTGTGCTGCCTGCATCCCTGTGGTGTGTTGTGCTGCCTGCATCCCTGTGGTGTGTTGTGCTGCCTGCATCCCTGTGGTGTGTTGTGCTGCCTGCATCCCTGTGGTGTGTTGTGCTGCCTGCATCCCTGTGGTGTGTTGTGCTGCCTGCATCCCTGTGGTGTGTTGTGCTGCGTGCACCCCTGTGGTGTGTTGTGCTGCCTGCATCCCCCATCCCACACCCTTGGCAACGCAAGAGAAGGGTGTGGGATATCGGTGGTGGGGCTCCCTACTCGACCCCCGCCTCCCTCCGCTCCTCCCCACCCCACTGATACAGGTTCCCCGCACTCCTGGCATATCGGTGGTGGGGCTCCCAGCACAGGGCGGCAAACTTTGTCTGTTGTGGGCATGGTCGGCCTTGGCACGGCCTGCTGAGTGGTTGGCGCTGAGAAGCAATGATGAGGACAGGGAGGACCATGCGGTGGGGAGGACGGACGCAAGGAAGGAGGGGGAAAGCGTGGGTAGCAAGCAGGGTGTGACTGGTGCAATGGAGAATGCAGCGGGTGAAGGGAGTGTGGCTGGAGGGAGTGTGGCTGGAGGGAGTGTGGCTGGAGGGAGTGTGGCTGGAGGGAGTGTGGCTGGAGGGAGTGTGGCTGGAGGGAGTGTGGCTGGAGGGAGTGTGGCTGAGGGGAGTGTGGCTGAAGGGAGTGTGGCTGAGGGGAGTGTGGCTGAAGGGAGTGTGGCTGAAGGGAGTGTGGGTGGAGGCGGTGGAAATGCAGGCAGGGTTGTTGAAGCAGATGGGGAGGGGGAGGAAGGGAGGGAGAGGGGAGACGATAAGGGGGGGCAGGTGAAGCAGGAGGGCAGGAGAAGCAGAGCGAGGGCGTACATTGAAGAGAGGGTGCCATGGCTGGGAATGACAGAGGACGGGGCGGAGACACTGTTGAACCAGCAGCCACGCACAAGCATGCGGGTGAGACGTGTGCTGTGAGAGTCGAATGAGGGTGAGACACGTGCTGTGAGAGTCGAATGAGGGTGAGACACGTGCTGTGAGAGTCGAATGAGGGTGAGACACGTGCTGTGAGAGTCGAATGAGGGTGAGACACGTGCTGTGAGAGTCGAATGAGGGTGAGACACGTGCTGTGAGAGTCGAATGAGGGTGAGACACATGCTGTGAGAGTCGAATGAGGGTGAGACACGTGCTGTGAGAGTCGAATGAGGGTGAGACACGTGCTGTGAGAGTCGAATGAGGGTGAGACACGTGCTGTGAGAGTCGAATGAGGGTGAGACACGTGCTGTGAGAGTCGAATGAGGGTGAGACACGTGCTGTGAGAGTCGAATGAGGGTGAGACACGTTCTGTGAGAGTCAAGTGGCCCTTCTCTTTCTCTTTCTCTTTCTCTTCCCCGTTGCTCTGTTTTCCTGCATCCCTGGTTGCCTCCCCTTTCATCTCTGGGCCTTCCTTTTGAATTCCAAGCCCTCTCCGCCGCCCCTTCCTGCCATTGAATTCCAAGCTTCCCTTCACCTGTTGTCCTCCACTTATATCCCCTGCCTCTCTCCCCTCCTAACCTCCTCCCTCCCTGCCCGGATTCCCACTTCTCCCCACGGTCCCCACCCCATACCTGCTCTCCTCTTATCCTGACCCGCTGCCATCCCCCATTCCCGCACCACACCTTCCCGCAATCAGATCAAGTGCTGGCAGTATCACGACTCTGCCGCCCAGATCGCTCTAATCGGCGACTCAGCACATGCCACGTGTCCATCCCTGGGCCAGGGCTGCAACGCCGCCATCACCGATGCTACAGTGCTTGCCCGGCTGCTTCTGGGGGAGGTGGTATGTAGGGATACCCTGATTCCTCCATACACTAAGGAGACCACCTGGAAGCTGCTTCAGAGCGTTTGGGGCACAGAAGGAAATGAAGGGGTGGATTCAGAGCGAGAGGTGAAGTGCGGCACTAAGGGATCTTGTGCTCTGAGCAGGTTGGCTTGGTCCTTCATTCGTTTTGTCCAGAAGTTATCAAGGCTGACAGGGTTGGGGGGCAGAGTGGCACCAGAGAGAAGAGCCGGCGTGGGGGCAGAGGAGGGGAGGAGGGACGCAGACAGAGCAATGTGTGCAGCATCACCGCAGCACCTGCGCACACACCTTGCTGGGATGCTCGCTCGCTACTCTGCTCTTCAGGTGAGAGCCACGGCACTGTGCCCGCATAGCAAAGAGGGTTGAAAGAAGCACTGACGGTGTCGGGTGCAGCATCGCTACTTGGCAAGGCACTAGCGTTTCCACCCACTGCTGCGCCCTTCATCCCACCCTGGTCCACCCGCCACCCCCTTGTGTGCTTCAGGTGCCGGAAGGCCATGCCCTGGTTGACCTCTCAGACGCTGGTGCACCCATCAGCAACCTCTACTCTGTACGTGACACACTGCACTAAATGCCATGTTGATCCATGTGAGCATGTTGCTCATGTACCATGGCACGCACACGTCCTGTTTCACGCATTTTGAATTGTCTTTCTATTGTGGAGCAGGCGCTGTCATCGATTGACATGATTCTTCGTTCCATCCTTTCCAAGTTGCTGCCTGCATGGGTTGTGTCACCTCCCATCCAAGTCCTCTGCTCCAACACCACACTCTCATATTCAACCATACTCGCTCGCTTCTGTGGCTGGGTAACAACCATAACTAGTTCCAACACGAGTCTCAGACAGCAGTGGTATACAAGCCAGAGAAATAACTTGCTCGACAGATCTTAAATTATTTATGCGCACGTCACAGCACAACACCGTCTATTAAAGATGCAGGCATGAACGGCATATGGCACAATTGCCCCTGAAGAATGCTCAAGTGGACGCAGCTAATATGTCCCATACGAATCGGGTTCAGTTGAGGCCAATGTTGGGATCTGAGGCAATGGAAACGAGCAGCACCTGTGTGGAATGTCGTGCGGTCTTGAAGATGGTGAGTTGAGCATACTCACCCAGCGCACGGCAAAGATGTGCACCTTGGGATCCGCCCACCCCACGCTCACCTGCAGCCCACTGGACGTCCAGCATGAGGAGATGCAGACTGCTAGGCAAAATGGGTTGGCATCTGCACGGCGCACGCTATCCAACCAAGTCAATACCTTATGATTATGTTTATGTTCATTGAAGTCTAACAGAATAATTGTACAGAAAGAGTTATGAAACCTTGCTATGGTAAGGGCTGTGCCTGATGTAGAGGGTGATAAGGCAACAATAGAGCACACAATAATTTGAGATGACATCATAACGCAAATTTGAGTTAACTACTAGCATTTATCACACCACTTGGTGAAGCACGCAATATCCCTTCTAGTGGCAGACACATTCCTGGGGGCGCATAGTGCCTTGCTAGCGATAGCTTACGGCTGGAGAGGTGTTTCCCTCGCCCGTCACAGCCTTCCGACGTAGTCTCGCCAGCGCATAACCGCAAATCAGTTGCCGCCTGCACTCATCCGCGCGTCTGCGCTGCTTGCTCCGGCCGGACCAGCGCACGCGGGCCATCCGCCACTTCTCCCGTCTTCCCGCGAGCCGTGCGACTTTCTTCCCCAAACCACATCCGCGCCATGGCGTCCGATAAGAAAGGTACCGCGGCGCGCTGCCCTCTGACGTTATTGTGCGCGAAGTGGATCCGAGCTCGACGCGCAGCGAAGCAAGGCAGTGCGGCAGAATTCCGTCCCAAGCTTTCCGCCGTTAGCCTCCCAACCCATTCATCGTGTGCGCTCGCGAGCACATTGGTCCTCGAATCACGTCCTCTCTCTATCCCACCCGCCATACCCCCCGCCATACACAATCCCGCCCATTTCCCCCCGCCATACACAATCCCGCCCATTTCCCCCCGCCATACACAATCCCGCCCATTTCCCCCCGCCATACCCACTCCCGCCCATTTCTCCCCGCCGCCGTGCGCAGGCCCCCCATCCGCCAATCTCACTCAACTGTATCCCCGCTCCACTCTCCATCTCTTCATCCACTCCTTTCTGCCACTGATTGCACCCGTCCGTTTTCATCCCTCGCTCCTGTCGTCTCCGCCCCGTGTGTTTCCCTCCCAATCTCACGCGCACCTAGCAGGCAGCACCGGTTGGTTTGGGGATATGGTCTCGACGATAAGTGACTTTGGCAAGCACACAACAGACATGGCTTCTAACCTCTACACTCATAGTACGTCCTAGCATGACTTGATTTCTGAAGCTTCTGGGATCACTTGTATTTCGACACGTCACAAGCACGTACTCTGTGGCATGTCACCATTGTACACATATGCAATTCTGGTGCAAAATAGACTTGCACTCTGCTATATGTCGCCTGATGTGCGCAGTAACCTTTTTTTCATACTGGTAACCCTCTTCATCCTTCCCCGGCAGTGGGCAAGCTGGGCAACCCCACCCTCTTGACGCATGCAGGAGCAGAGGCGCTGTGGCGGGAGCACTTTTGGGCGCCACCGGATGAGAAGCTGCTGTTCTACTTTTACTGCAACCTGCTCACGAGCGTGGGGCCCGTTCCCGGCACACTAGTTGTCACCACCGCGTCCATTGGCTTCCTCTCGGACGCCGAGTTTGAGTACAACCCGCTGGGCCGCCCCACAGAGATTGCCAAGAGCCACTTTGTGGTGAGCCTGTTTGGTTGTTTGTATCATGGCCTCAGATTTGATGGAACACATTCCAACCCTCTTCTCCAACCCCCTCCTTCCCAACTCCCTTCCACCCCACCTGTACAATTGTCTTTCTTAGGCCACCATTCCGCTGCATAAGATAACAGGAGTGGCGCCTGAAGCCAACCCATCTGATGACAATGAGAAGTACATTCGTCTCACTACAGAAGACGACTTCTCATTCTGGTTCACTGGCTTCATCGCATATGATCAAGCCTTTGCGACTGTCCTTTCTGCGGTGGTCAGTACTTCTCATCCTCTTGAAGCTTTGTCATAGAGCAGGGATGTGGCACAATGTCCATATGGTCAGTGGTGAACTAGCCATGTGAAAAAGTGGTACTGGTGTAGCATTGCAATGTTCACATGCATGGTACGGTACGTGCCACATGATTTGATTCTAGTCCTCGTAAAGCCTGCAGTTTTGTGAGCACTGTTCATCACCTCCTTTATTTGTGGGTTAAAGGGTAAAAATTGTTGGGTACAATTAACTCTAAGCGCCTCTGTCGTGTCGAAACACCAAGTCAGAAGCGAAGCGAAGTTTATCGAAGCACCGGCGAGTCAACCCCAGGGCCTCAGATTCCAGGAATTTTATCCTGATTTCCTGATGTTTGACCTCGGTTTTTTATTGTAACCCTGACGAATCAGCCTTTTTGTTTTTACAACCCTGATGAATCAGTGTTTTTCTTTTCCTAATCCTGATTTTCCGGTGTTTCTAGTTTGTCGACACTGACGAGTCAGTGTTGTATCGGAGACGACCCTGAAACCGGAAACTCCATGATTCTCGCAGTTTTGCGCGCCGTCATCGTGCATGAACCCACCCTGCACCGACGCCACCCTGCGGCGCGCCCAGATACAGTTGAACGGGTTAATTTCGGGCTGTGTTGGCAAAACGGCGTAAAGAGATTGGCTGTCCCAGCTGAAGCAATGTACCGTTGTCACGTTGGATAACCTAAACTTGTCATTACTTTCCATTGATGTGCACAAACAACCAAGCCTAGTGGCCCAGTGGGCCAGTGGTCTGCCTTGTTCTTTCCACCAAGGCAGGGCGTGCTGGGACGGCCTGCTCAGGCACCCCACGCAGGGGGGCTCGTGATTCTGCCATTCCAGCTCTCCAGACTCCATCCCTTTCCGAAACATCAATCTCTGCAGTCTCCCTGACGCCTGCTCGGCAGGCTCTCTCTCTCCCAGGGTTTCTCATTACTACTCACCGATTCAGGAAGGTGACGTGAATGCGCCATGGCGATCACCGGTGAGAACAGCTGCGGTGATGATGACGACGATGCACTTTACGCCGCCACCGAGATGCTGGAGGCCAGAACGGGACTAGATTTTCTAGTTTCCGCGCTCTCCCATGAAAAAGAGAAGCCAGGTCCCGTCGCCTCAGTAGCAAACACTGGTGAAGCGTCTGGCCTCTGCCGCGGAGACGATCGTCCCCAGCCCGCGCATACTGCTAAGCCGGCCGTGCCGTCAGCAGCCGGACCGAGCGTCCACTTGCCATCTCGTGCGTCGTCGTCGAAGCCTCCGCCTCGTTACAAGCAGGCCGTGCTCCGTTGGGCCGATCCTACAGATCCTGGACGTCCTCTCGCTGATGCCGGCGAGTCGGTAAACCACGTTACGCCCACGCCATCTAACTCTAAAAAACCGTCACTAACCACTCTGATTTACGAAGAGGCCCTTGAAACGTTCAAGTCGACGTGGTCGACCGACTACCCATGGCTCATACTCATAAAAAACACTGCTGGCATGCCTGCGTTCAAGTGCAGATTGTGCATCGACTTTGCAGGTGACGGTGGCAAGTGTGGCAAGAGTGGGCACGGTGCAACCGATCTTCAGACCTAAGCCTTCAAGCGGCATGCTGCGACGAACAAGCACCAGTTGGCCATCAATCACCAGAAGCAGATGCTAGCTCAGGCTGAGAAGCAGCCACGAATTGACGAGCATGCGCTTGCCAAAGATGACGAGACGACCCGCGTCATCAGCCTTCTGAACTCCCTTCACTTCACCACCTAGAACCATCTGCCGATGGAGACGTGGGTGCGCCTCGTTCGCTACATGGCTCAGAACGAGGTCCGTGGCTTTCCCAAAAAGGGATACGACACTTACTACACCACGTAAGTGCTTACGGGCGCATGCATTAAAAGCCTCTCCTGTTCACAACCACATAAGCTTAACAAATATGTTCGGTGTCTATGCAGGTACGGCTTTGGGGAACTAACACAGGCAACGGCCGTGTGGCTGCAGACAACACAACTCGAACACGTCCTACAAAGCCACTACATCGGCCTCAGTTGTGACGAGTCTACGGACAGATGCCGTGGGAAGCATCTCATCATCTATGCCACATTCATCCGCGACGGGGTAGTAGTCACCGAGTTCTTTGCCCTCCTAACCGTGGACAGGGCAGACGCCGCATCGCTGGTGGCGTTGCTCTTATCCCATGTCAATGCCGTCGGCATTGACCTGCGCCGAATCACGGGCATCAGCACCGACGGGGCGAGCGTCATGGTCGGATCCAAAAACGGGCTGGTGGCGAGGCTGAGGACGCGCGTTCCGCATCTGGTGTCCTGCCACTGCATCGCTCACAGGTACGGTGGTTGATGCAGTGTCCGATGCGACTGGTATTTGTTATTTGAACATGGTGTCCTTCCTTCTACTTAACCAAATGCGACTGTTTTTTGTTTTAATCGCAGGGAAGCACTCACGGCCAAGGACGTGGCAGAGTCCCTACCGGAGTTTGGCATGGTCGACAGCTTCATCCGCTGGCTCTCCACCTACCTCGGCTCATCAGGACCCTGGCACCAGCGCTTCATGGACCTTCAGGAAGTCTTCACTCAGACTAACCTGGAGCTCCAAGGAATCAATGATGTGCGTTGGCTCTCACGCGGCGATGCAGTCTGCCGACTCCTTGCAGTCCTTCCGGGGGTCATCGTGATGGTGCACGAGCTGGGAAACAAGCCCATGTACCAGATGGTGACCAGCTACAGATTCTAGTTCATGCTGCGACTCCTCGCTGACGTGCTGGAACAGCTGAACATGCTAAGCAAGACGTTCCAGCATCGACAGGTGAGATCCTGCTTTTGCCTGTGCATCCCTGTGTGCCGTGAGGACTGTGGGTTTAGGGCCGCTAGCTACGGCTAGTTCTGCTTCATGATTGAAACATGGCTGTGCTTTCCCTACTGTTTTTGTGTGGCAGATTGACCTGCTGGCGATTCAAGGCCAGATCCGTCGCACGACAGCCCACATCAACAGCCGTTATGTGGATTGTGGCGACGACTTCGGCGGCGGCCTGAGCGAGAAGCTGTCGCCCTTCATTGCACGACATGGACCGAATGGGGTGCGGAGAGTGGAGGTCGAGTGGGTTGACTCCGACGGCCGGCCCACTTCTCACTGCCACGTGCTGCATGATTCCCCCCTTGAAGGCTACCCCATTGCAGGGACCCATGAGCGATGCGTGGAGCAGTGCACGGCGATGGCGGAGGCGCTCGTGCATAACCTGGATGAGCGATTGGGTTCACTCGACAAGCTGAGCGGTGTGAAGCTGTTCATGCCTGACGAGTGGCCCCATGGACGGCAGGAGCGTTCCATGGTCTGCACGGAGCACCTAGAGTCCCTCACGATGCTCTTCAGGGCCCAAGAGTGCGACGAGATCGTTCCAGGTACGTACTTCTCTTTGGTCTGTGCATCGTTGTTTGTGCTGCTTTGTTGTGTAGCACCTAAACACTGGCACCACTTGTCTGGTGAGCCTTGCTTACCTTGTTCTTTTCCTTGTGCTTGCGCACTCCCTGACTCCCTCCAGGTGTCAACAAGAAGAAGGCGTTCAAGGAGCTCCGAACGTTCTGCACGGTTCTCGCTGGAGCCCCGAAGTCTGAGAGAAAGTTCTACCCGGGTCTCTCGGCGATGCTGAAGTCTCCTGACTGGGAGGACGCGTACCCCAACCTGGTGAAGCTGTGGATGGCTGTCGCTGTGCTACCGTTGAGCACAGTCGAGTGCGAGCGGGGGTTCTCGCGTCAAAACATCATCAAGAGCTGGCTGAGGGGTGCCATCAATGATGCGCGGCTGTCGGACCTCATGTGCATGGCATTGCTGCCGTACGAGCCCGACTGGGTGGAGGTGGTGAATATCTCGAGGGCGTACAAGAAGCGCAAGCCCATCACAACAGTGGCAGCACCAAAGAAGCAACCTAGTGCTAAGGGGAAACAGAAGGTGGACGAGGATGATGCTGGTGGTGCTGGCTCTGGGTGGGGGACAGAGACCCCCGTGCACAGGCACGGTTCTATGAGCGATGGTGGTGGTAGTGACGAAGATGAAGACATGTGTGTGATGTGAATTGTGTGTGCGGTGTGAGCGCCAATTGGTCTGTGCCTGTAGTTAGATTAGAAGCTCATTAGAACCATATTTGAACTTTTCTTAACTTATTATACTTGTGATAGTTGTGGATTCTCACCGCCAGTGTTTTTTTTTTACTCACGCTGATGTGTCAGGGTTTTTTTTTTTTTTTTTTCTAACCCTGAGAAATCAGTGTTTCTCCATTTACAACCCTGATGATCAGTGTTACAGCCCCAAAGGACCCTGAGTGCTCAGGGTCACCCAAAACGAATCTGAGGCCCTGGTCAACCCTCAGAGGTTGAGCGGTTGCTAGAGGGGTCAGCGACCTTTGACCTGACATGACAAGTACAGCGCGATAGCAAGGACACACAACTGACTCGTTACAGAGCAGTTGCCCGAGTCGTCACTGTATCGAACCGCAACAGCAACAGTAAAGTAGTTATAACTGTATCTCTTCATATTCCTTGTACTCCTATATAATCTTGTACGGTATTGCTTTGCTTTAACCAATCAACTTTGCCCTCACACACTAGCGCAAGGTGGTTCACAACTCTTTATTAAACGCTTCCGCTACTACACCAGTGCTACCCAGAGTTCACCCCAGCAAAGATCCTAAGGGCTTTTTGTCAGTAGATCTGCACTGTGGATGCCCGATTGATCCTGGAGAGGGTTACAGGCGTGTTCGCCTGGGGGGTTATGGGCGCACTGACCCGCTACTGAAACAAGCCCTTTTATCCCAATGGTCTAGTGGTTGGGATTCTGACATGGTATCAGAGCGGTCTCGGGTTCGATTCCCGGTGTATGCACATGTAGGCCGTTGCCGCTGTGCTTAGTCCTGGGCCTCCCAGTGTGGGGGGGTGTCAGTAGATCTGCACTGTGGATGCCCGATTGATCCTGGAGAGGGTTACAGGCGTGTTCGCCTGGGGGGTTATGGGCGCACTGACCCGCTAC